AGAAAGAAAGAAAGAAAGAAAGAAAGAAAGAAAGAAAGAAAGAAAGAAAGAAAGAAATTCCCAAGGACTCTGGGCACAGATCTGGGTGGTTCGTTCCTAGTTCTCCCTTGGTGGAGATGAAGCCAATTAGGCTAATTAATCCCTATTCGGAGACCCCACCAGAGCAGCCGCGCGCCCCGACACGACCCGCTTCCTAAATGCGTCCCGGATTCCCACAAGACAAAGTCACCCCGGAAAGCCAAGCCAAGCCAGGCCGCCCAGCTGCAGCGGCCTAACCCAGCCTGGCACGTTGTCATCTGCCCGCCCCGAGGTCTCTGAAGCCAACCCTGGTTAGGCGCCCGTGTGAATGCGCCCTCCCCGTCTTCCCTGACCCGTGTCACGGCGCTGGGTGAACGCGCGGCGGGGACGAGCCCCCGTCCTGCCAAGGCCCGAGAGAGAGGCCAAGGCTGCCATCTTAGCCTCCTCCCGGTCCAACCGGGCGACTGGAGAGAGCTGCTTTCTCCCTTCCCAGGCGCTGCCTGCGGTCGCGGAGGCTAAACGGCGGGCAGGACGAGACCGAAACGGTCCCTCAGGCGCCATGGCTGCCCGGCGCTCCCTCAAGGACCTGCTCGCAGACAGTAAGGACAAGGTTTTAATACCCTCCCCCGTCTCGGAGGTTGGGCTCTTCCATAAGGAGCTGCGAGGCCCCCCGACTGGGCAAAACCATTCCTGTATGGGGGGAGGAGGCGTCCGGGAAAAGGAGAACAGCTGTGGGCAAGGGTAACAGGGACGGGGGATGGGCGAAGAGCGAGCAGCGCAGCAGCCATAGACTACTTTGTAGACCCCTCCAGCGAATCTGCTTCCGGGCTTGGGAAGGGAAGGGCGCCATCCTGGGTCTGGTGGGAAAGAGCGTTGGGTTCCCCCTAAAAGAAGAAAGCAGCGATGAGGAATCCGTCGCACAGCTGCGTAGCATCGTTTGTGCGGTTCTGCCTCCCGCAAGAAAAGCAGCCGCCATTTTCTTTACTCGTTCAGGGTCTCCGACTGAGATTAGCAGCGAAGCCATCAGTCTTTCTAAGGAGGGCCGAGCGTGCCCATCCGCCCCGACTCACACACGAACCAAGGCGAGCATTACAACGGGTATTTATGGCTACCGTTCTCGCAGAAGAGGCAGAAAAGACCGCCCGGGCTGCCTAAATTCGAGGTTAAAATCCCGGCGGGTTAGCGCTTTCTTCCTTTTTTTTCCTCCAAGCGAGTCCGGAAGTATTCGAACGAGGCGCCGGGCAACTTCACTTTTCTTATCTCTGATGAGCCGGGCAAGCCCCGCCCCTGCCGCGCGCCCATTGGCTGTTGGTCCCGCGCGCGGGTTTCTCGAAAGCGCGGGCTTTCGAAGCGGCACTCTTTCTTTCTCCTCAGAATTGGCCGCCTTATTTCGCGCGATCACCATGCCAACCTCCACAGCAATCCCTGGGGAGTCTTCCAGCGCCAGGCTGAGGATTCCCGACGCCGACAAGCCCAGCCAGAGTCTGCGCTTCGTCAAGCTGACCGAAAACGCCTATGCGCCTTCTAAAGGATCTTCCCGCGCGGCGGGCTACGATTTATACAGGTAAGAAAGAAAGAAGGGGAAGGAGAGGGAAGAGGCCAAGATCTGTTCCGCCTCGCTTTGGTTCGGCCAAACGTGCTAAATCGGGTTGGTTGGATAAGCCACACAGGCACCCTGGTAAGCCCCCAGCTGTGCTTTGCGAGCCACAGCAAGAGGGTTCAAACCAAAACGGGTTACATTTCAGTGGGATGGGGCATCCCAGTGGTCATTATTTGCCTAAAGGTAAGAATTGCAAGCCACCGTGGGCAGGAAGGGGGGGATGACGACCACATGGATGTGCAAATGGAATGAAATAAATAAATAGGTGTCATGGCATCATGCAAACAGCATCAGGAGTTACAGTGCCATTGCATGATTGCATCATGTGCATAGGCTGTATAAATATAAGTAAATAAATGATGGGTTGCCTGGACCTCATCATCATGGCTTGTAATGGCTGCCTGGGCAGGCCATAATGGGTTAGGGTCAGACAGCACTTGAACCCAGCCAGTTTCATTGACCCTAAGAGCCTCAGGGAGCACCTGCAAGACAGTCATGCTGGAAATGGTGGAGGGCGGCTTTCATAAATTACGTGGGTGATGGTAAATCCCATGGTGGTCTTCCAAAAACTAGCTAAGAGGCTGTCAGAAAGCAGAGAGACTGTCATAAGGAATAAAGAAGAAGTGGGGGAAGCCTGAAAGAACTATGTAAAACAGCTTTCCCATCCTACTCTTCCCCTTCCTGATATTTTGGGACTAAAAAAGAAGTTGCCTTTGAGTCAAGCTCAACTGCTGGTGTCCCCATGTAGTTTTCCAGTCAACGTACAGGAGCCGTTTGCCATTGCCTTCTTCAACTCTCCAAATTCCCCACAATGCTTTGGGTATGATAGCTAGGAAATCTGAGAGTTGTAGGCCTGGCACACTAGGAATCCAAGAGAGAGCTAGGAGGGCTGCTCTAAAATATAACGTGAACAGGGTGGACTTCTTACAACATGCCCCCCCCCAAATAATCTGAGCACTGCTCAAATCTGCCTTAAATTTATTGTTTAATAAGCTGTTTTGCTCATGCTTGGAACCCATCTTTAATAAAGCAACTGTAGTAATTGTTTTGTTGTTTTATATTTGTTTTAATTGTTTGTAAGCCACCTGTATATATGAGATGGGTGGCTATATGAATTTGAATAATTAATAAATGGTTGAACAGTTTGATTTTTAGAAGGCTTTTCTCAGAGTATTCTGTGCTACCTGATAAAACACATTTTTCTTGGAGTACTCTTCCATGCAAATAAGACTGTACAGGTAGCATACAATGCTATAATAAAACAATAATTCAATTATTTGAATCCAAGATCCACTCATAACTCCAATCAACAAGTAGTCCTCACTTAATGACCACAATTGGAACCAGCAACTCCATCGCTAAGCAGTGCGGTTGTTAAGCAAGACATCTCATGACCGCAACTTGTGATTTTATTGCTGGTTTCTCCATTGACTGCTTGTTGGAAGCCAGTTGTGAAGCATGGAAATGGCAACTGTGATCGCAGGATGGTGCAACAGTCAAAAACACCCACCAGTTGCAAAGCACCTGAATGTTAATCATGTAACTGCGGGGATCCTATGATGGTTGTAAATGCGAGGACTGGTCATAAAGTTTTTCACCACCGTCATAACTTCAAATGGTCACTAAACAGGGCCGTCACTAAGCAAGGTCTACCTGTATACCATACAGCTTACTTCTCAATATCTAGTTTTTGTTTATTAAGAACTGAAGTGATCAGATTTAAAGGAGATAATAGTATATAAAAAGAAGATTTCTGCATGCAGTTTCCCAAGGAGTTTCTAAGGGAACTTGAACTTACTGATTTTTCTTTTTCCTAGCTATTCATTTTTTTAAAAATGCTTCATTTTGTAGTGCATATGAATGTGAGATCCCTGCTTTAGGGAAGGCTGTAGTGAAAACGGATATTCAGATTGCCCTTCCTACTGGTTGCTATGGTCGAATAGGTAAGTTGGTAAACAGAAAAATTGTAATCAACTCCATTTGTATTACGTATTTCTTGGAAACAGTATATTCCTACAGAAATACATACGTATACTTTTCCTGAAGAGTCTGTTGAAATAACTATCATTTACCACAATGAATTTGTAGCAGTGTTTTAAAGCTTCACCTTATATCTATATTAATAAATGAGTTTGTGCAATTTGTGTAGTTAGCTGTCAGTCTTAAATTTATGTAGATGAAGCCTATCAGTGTTGTTGCAATATAATTTCTGTTGATAACACCAATATAATTCTGTGGGAAATATGAAACTGGATGCTTTAATCAATTTAGCCATTTTGCTGGTGAGTGTTGGGTGGAACTTCACAAATTATTATTGCAAGGTGCAACTTAGTGTGTAACATTATCATTTTTGAAAGCATCTGTTTCTTTGTTTTAAGCTCCTCGGTCTGGATTAGCTGTGAATCATTTCATTGATGTTGGTGGTAAGTAATTTGTTTCTATATACAATTACATCAATATATGCATTTAGATGCTACAATGTAAGATTCATATTTCATCATTCTTAATTTAGGAATAAATTCTTAGTGAAATAACTTGAAAAGTTATAAAATATGCTTTTGCTTATTTACATTAATTTGCATATTTAATAAGGGCAGTATTATGTTCTGGGAGTAGAAGTACTGAAAGATGAAATGTTAGTTTTTTATATTACATAAATAAGCTCCCTATAATTTTAGTGAAGCTAGATGATGGAACATATGTTCTTTGTGCATCCTGTAATTTATGATAAAGTAAGTTAATTAAAGCACATCTGTTAAAGCAATTGACCGTGAACTAAACTCTGCAGAACTATATGCGAGCAGTTAGCTAAATACATTTATCCACAGCATATATTTATTTCAATTAAGCAATGTTTGAAAACACATATTTTCAAACTTTTTATTTTTAAGGAATCCTCACATTGATTTATTTCTTATGAAGCTCTTAAGCTAATAAAACTAAGGTTCTACTAAATGTAGTAGATTTTAAGTTATGCCTCCTGCCTCATTGATTTTAATTGAAATTAAGTACAACTGGAGAGTAAATCCTACTACTGGATTAATACTTTTGGATGCAACATTACATAGAAACCCATTGCTGTGGTGAATTTAAAGCAATATTTGCATATATATCCTTACTTATCTATTAGAGATATCAAATACAGGTAGTCCTTGCTTAACAACCACAATTGGGACTGGCAACTCCATTGCTTAGCAATACAGTTGTTAAGCAATACATCATGTGACTGACATGCAATTTTACTGCCAGCTTCTCCGTTGATTGCTGGAAGCTGGCTGTGAAGCACACAAATGGCAATCACATGACTGCAGGGACATTGCAATGGTTGTTAAGTGTGAGGATCAAGTCATAAGGTTACTTTTTCAGTGCTGTTGTAACTTACAACAGTTGTTAAATAGGGCAGTCATTAAGCAAGGACTACCTGTAACCTCTTTTCTCCGTTTCCTGTATATATGGTTTCTTCTGTGGGTCTTGGCTGTGATTCTGTTCCTCTAGATTTATGACTGCTGCACAGGCTTCCTGTGCAGATGAAGTGAAGTAATTTTTTGAGCAGTGAACCATATTCTGGTTGCTTCTGAGGCTCAACAGCATAGGATGAACAGGCAGTGGCCTTTTCTTTTTGTTAGTGGTTAGGAGTTTCCATTCCCCCAACTGACTGCATTGTTCTACTTCCCTCTTCTAGACAAATGAGTGCCTATATTTGCCCAGTGTTAGTTTCTCTTATAAATGTTTTTAGTTTTCAACCTGAGGGTGGAATCCTTAAATGTACAATGAAAGATCTACACTATTACCTTTTTTTTTTAACAGCTGGGGTAATTGATGAGGACTACAGGGGAAATGTTGGTGTTGTATTATTTAACTTTGGAAAGGAACCATTTAAAGGTAAAGGTAAAATTAAAGTTGGAGATTTAAGTATTAAACTGATACTTTCCTTAAACTTCCTGCTTTTTAATTAGAGTATACATGTAAAAGGTGTTGAGGAAGATTATTAATGAAGCATGAGATACTGACCAGCTTTGGCAGAGCTATTCAGGGAGTTTCAGGACAGATGTGAACAGCCTCCCCTTCACCAGTCTACTGGTGGCGGCTGCTACTTCCTGTGGTTCATCTCCCTCCATCTACCCACGGGATGTTTGTGGAACAGGGTGTGGGAGATCAAGGCTATCAGGAAGGAGGGGGTGCATTCCAGGAGGGGAGAGGAGGCAAGAGGCAACACAGTCTGCAGGGGGAGCATGAGAAGAGTAAGAGATTCAGGATAGCCATTCCCTAGAATCTCAAAGGGTAGATCCACTAGTTGCAGTAGTATAGATTTAGTTTGGCGAGATTCTGTCTATAAGGTGTAAGCAAATAAAGGAACTGTACTCAACTGGACTGTTTCATCATTGTTCTTGGGCTGGGCCTGACACAGGGGAAGGGAAAAGGGGCTACAGGGACTAACTTGGGCAACATTTCCATTCTCTTCCATTTTGATAAATCAGACAGGGAAAAAGTCATGGGGGGCACTTGCTGCCATACTTTATGGTCAGCAAAAATATCATGAAGATGTAGCCACGCCAATATGACCCTTGACCAACAAAAACAGTGCACCCAAGGTCTAAATAGACATGGTGCAGACAGCCTGGCTCATCCTGATTAGTTTAACTGAAATTAAACCAGAATTCCTTACTTCTGAAGTACTAGAACACACTGACTTAAGCCAAGCATGAAGCACTGAAGCAAGCACACGAGGAAAAGGAGGAAGGTCTAGCTTTGATACTCATTCTGACTTGGTATGAGCCTAAGAAAGAGTCCAAACTCTTCAGCTCATTGACCCCCTTCATGAAGTTTCAGATTGTTCATCGACCCCCAAACATTTATTATATGAAAATAATTTAATAAATGCCACTTTAACTAATAGTACATTAATAATAACAAAAACAATAATGGAAATTCCTATTGACCCTTGGGGATCTATATTGTCCACTTTGGGGAACCCTGGCATAAATAATATATATCTAGTTGGACTTTATCGCAGTCCAATCTGCAAAACAGGAAACCAGCTATTTCCTTTTGTTGGGCTTGTTTTTATTGCACATTCTTAATCACTGGCATTTTCCTTAGATATAACAATAATGTATTGATATTGTGGTCTCTTTAAAAATATTAAAAGTTTTTAAATTCCCTGTTATTTTGTTTTGAAGTTAAAAAGGGTGACAGGATTGCTCAACTAATCTGTGAGCGCATCTACTATCCTGTTCTTGAAGAAGCCAAGGTAAGAAATTGGAAACATTGGAAAAGAATTAACTGCTAACCCAGGTATCTTACTGTTAATAAAAATAGGAATGAAAAGGATTTACTTAAGGTAGGGATAAGGGAGAAATCTATTCGATCCACATTTACTCCAGGATCTCAATTTGTTTCCAGGCCTGAAGGAGAATTGAGCTACATTTTCTGAATTTGCAGTTGAAAACAAGTGAATGTAATGAGGATATTAGCTGGAAAATACACATGAAAATATATGAATTTTCAAGCAGACTTCAGAATAGCTAAGATTTATTCAGCATCGAAAGGGTAAATATATGGCCCCAACTACTCAGTGGTCTGCAGAGTTGAGTTATTAGCAGCATAACAAATTAATTTTGAATAATATAGATGATTATTGTGAACCATGGCTGTTATTTACTGAAATGCTCGTTCAGCAACCGTTTGAAGTTACAGTGGCACTGAGAAAGGAGATTTACGACTGGTCCTCAAACCTGAGGCTGTTGCAGCATCCCCATGGTCACACGATTGTGGCTCAGGTGCTCGGCAAGTGGCATGCATTTACGCCAGTCACAGTGTCCCATGGTCACATGATCACCATTTGCAACCTTCACAGCCAGCTTCCAACAAGCAAAGTCAATGGGGAAGCCAGCAACAAGTCACGTTCGTGTACCATTACACTTTATAACTGCGTCGCTTAGCGACAGAGTTGGCAGTCCCAATTGTGGTCAGTGAGCACTACTTGTATGCAGTTTTGTTTTCTTTTTTTATAGCTTTCTGTATTTTATTTTGTTTTTCTCTTGTATTTAATCAATTACAGCATCTATACATATATACACAAACACAAGCCAATTTGACGTGGTGGTTAGGTTGCCAGTTGTTCTCTGTCAACCGTAGGAAAAAGGCAAGGACTGTTGCTCTTGAACAGGGAATTTGTTGTGATTTCTGCAGAGGAAATAATTTTTAGAAAGCTAATTACTTCTATTTTTCAGGTTTTGGATGAAACAGAACGTGGCTCAGGTGGCTTTGGATCAACTGGGCAGAAATAGAGCTCTTATATTTTTGTACGCATTTTTATAAATGTAAATAAACTTTGATAGAAAATTATGGGGTTTTTTTTTTGTCTTATAAGAAAGAGATTGATTTAAAAATATTACTGCAAGGAAAAGAATATAGATCACTACAGGTTGTGTTAACTTAGTGCTGTTGCAATGAGAGGAATCTGTCAAAGATAACTTTCAGAGACTGCTTAAAACTTACCCCCAAAGCCCTTGTTCATAATCATAGTCTTCCGGTCAAATTATAACTGGAATGAAACAAGGTGTAATTTAAAAGAATGCTCAAAATCAGGCTATTATGGATAGTCCTTGCTTAACATCCGCTCATTCAGCAACTGTTTGAAGTTACAATGGCGCGGAATGAGGGGCTTACTACGGGTCCTCGTAGGTGTGGCCATTGCAGTGTCCCCACGGTCACAATTGCAATTCGGGTGCTTGGCAACCAGCTCACAGTTACAGTGTTGCAGCGTCCCGCAGTCATGGTCACCATTTGCGACCTTCACTGCCGACTTCTGACAAGCAAAGTCAGTGGAGAAGCCGGCAGTAAGTCACACATTGTGGTTAACGTCTGGGTGGTTCACTTAATGATCACAGCTGGAACTGACATAAGTCAGCGTGATCACGTGACTTTGTGCCTTATAACCACATTGCTTAGCAACAGAATTCCCAGTCCAATTACCATTGGTAAGCAAGGATTACCTGTCTTCACCTTCTGTAACGTACAAGCTGTCGAGGGCTTTCAAAGTCATGTTCAATAGTTGAACAGAGTATGAAGGTGGACTGGGACTAGTATAACATACTCAAAAAATTATCCTCAATGTCCTTCCAGCTCTGTTCTGCTCCAACTAGACCATCTTCAAAGGCAGTCCAATTCACACTATCATGTTCTAACCAGGAACACTACAATTTCATCAACGTGGGCACTTGGAATCATGTCTGTTATTCCTTTTGTGTATATTTGCTGCAGCCTCTAGGCACCAAGCTCACTTCTGGTAGGCATTTGCCATAACAATCTGTGTAGCCCCAAGTCAGCCAGTCTCTGCAATCAGACCAGCCCTCAACTTCTCCCTTTGCACGTACAACCACATTGGTAGTTACAAGACCACACAAATTCTGACTGAGAGCCATTTTGCAAAGCAACTTCTGAGCTTGATCACTTTGACAGTGTATAAGAAAAAGACAAGATTTACTTCCGCCTTTCTTACAAGAGCATAGATGACAAGAATGAAACCTAGGCTATCTACATACAGTAGTAACGTTAAATTGTCTCAATTTATTCTACCATATTCCTTCTGTCTGAAAATGCGACTTGTTAACAATTGAGTTGAATGCAGTCCACGAAGTCCACACGACATTCAAGTTCTAGAGATCCTATTTCATCTTGCTATCCTAGTCAGACAAGTAAGTCAAATAAGTAGTCAGGTAAGGAACTTGTCAAGACTAGGAAGTTGCATCTAACGGGATGCAAGTTATATAGGCCTTATCTATTTCTTGTTATAAACAAGGTCTAAACTGGCACAAAAACCCTATTTTTCAGCCAGTGAAATTCTTACATATCTATTTCTTCTCCCTACAAATATCCTATACCAATGTTTAAGCATATTAAAAATCACGAGATTGAGAAACTTAAGCCAAAAAAGATCAGGCAAGCAAGTAGTAGTAATTGAGGGGTAGAGGATTACAATAATTTCTAGTTTAGCAAATAAGCCACTAGATGGCACTTGAAAATTGCCTTTTCCTATTTTTTTCCTTTCCCAAAGATTTGTAGGTCTGTAACTAATCAATGGCCCTTCCCATGAGATTATTGTATGTTGGTGGAAAGAAACAGCAATGAGTGAGTGAAAGCTGGCAAAAAGATGTCATGGCATGGAGAGGAACAGAATCTACAACTGAAAAGATTTTGGAAGCTGCTGAGCTGTTTGCACAATTGTTCCTGGCATATAAACACAAAAACCTTTCCCCAGTTTGGTTTTTCAACAAGAATGGAAAATTATAGCGAAGAGAAACATTTCTCTTTTTTTTTTCCCTCTCAGTCCATCAACTTTCATCTCCTTTGGCTTAACTTGATTCTTGCAAGCATGTTCGGTGCTTTGCATTTTAAAGTCATTTGCTTTGCCAATGTGCAGCACCTCAAAACAGCAGAATTTGTGGTTCCTTACTTTATTACTAATTCCTCTATTTTTGTCCTGGTTGGGACCTTAGCAACCATTCAGACAGGTAACCAGTGTTTGCAACTGTGCTTTGGCTTCAAGATCATTAAGTAAGCTTCAGTATAAACTGACCTGCTAGTTTCCTGCCTCATCAAATCCTTCCTTGTAAGAACAACTCTCCTTTTCTATGATGGGACTTTAAAGCTGGGTTTTTTGGCAGCCTTGGCATTTTCAACTTGGATACAACTGTGACCTCGGATGAAGCCATTTTTGCTTCACTGCTTCCCACTTGTGTGAGTGCTTGCACAGTAAATAAATAAAGATGCCCTTGTTACAGACTCTTCAGGTTTCCAAAATAGCTAGGCACCGCTCTTTCCACTGACCACACGCTAGCCTATGAATGGGGGTAAGGGGAGGAAAAGAAATGTTTCACGAATTTTTCAGGAACACCAGGTAGGAATCTGGATGCTTTGCAATACAGCACTTTGATTGGAACAGATCCACATGGAAACTACCATAGAAAAGCTGAGTGAGCTAAATTGATTCCTCTATTAAACTAGTTCAGCATCTCCCATCCTTATGTACTATTATTTTCCTTAAATTCCATGGCTGTAGTCAAGACCTGAAGTTCTTTAAAAAAAAAAAAAAATCCTGAAAAGAAGGAATGGCAAACCACTTGTATACTGTTACCAAGAAAGCTCAGGAGTTAAGTTTGATTGAAGGGACTCTTATCTATCTTGCTTGAATATTCAGAGCCTCCTGGCCTACTTCCTTGTATGTCCTGTTTCTCTCAACCTTGCTTGTTCTTCCAAGTATTTTTGGAGAGTCTGCTCTAAAATCCCCTTGAATTTGGATGATGGCCTATCCATGGCCATCTAAGGAACATATCTAAAGAACACCTCTCAGTATCATTTCTTTTGTGTACTCTTTTCCAGTGCTTGCCAGGTTTTTAATGTTAATTAATCAGGAGCCTGTTTGGATGTCTTAACAAGGCTGATTATTCATGTTTTGGAAGAATAGCTAAAGAACAGCCCAGGCAATCCACTTAAGTATGGTGTTCCGAAGTTCAGCAAATATTTCCTTTGAATACTGATTGTGGTAAAACAATGAAATAAATCAATAAGTTATCATGGAAGCAGCTATCAAAAACCAAGTCACTTTTAACAAGCATTTTATGGTTTAGAGTCTGGTCAGCACAGCACAGAAACAAAAACAAAAAGATAATAATTTAGATTAACTCCAATTGTCCAGGACAAAATTATTGCAATATGTCATAATTGGATGAAAACCAGTCTATTTCCTTTCCAACTCAACAGAGCCAAGCAGATGTCTTTAGACCTCATTTTGCCACCTGCAGAGATCATAGCACTGAAAACTCTTGTACCCGAGGGTAGGATGGCGTCTGAAAAATGTAAATTATAGATGCTAACCTTCTCCTCATCTGACCCCTCCAGAAAAACTGTCCATTAATCAGCCTTCCCCAATCTGCTATCCTCTGAATATATTGCACTACTGTGGCCAGTTTATCTACCCAGTATGGTTGTGATCATGCTCTTTTAATTCAGAAGTGCTGCTGTAATGGAGTCCATACATAAGGCTTCCTCATCAGCCTTTGGCCATATTCTCTATGGGTTCGTATCAGGAGATATTGATTATTAATAAACAAAAGGCTTGCCAATCAGCAAGAGTGTGAGCGTCCTGACTTGGAGTGAGAATACAAGGCTACAAAATCACAGTGGGGATTCTGTGCCCCACCCAAAGTGAACCAAACTACAACTTTCAGCCACCCCAGCCATACGGATAACAACTAAGGATCCAGAAAGCTGTAATTCAGCATTTAGGGTGGCTATTGGTTTCCCACCTCTGCTCTAAACCTGACGGGGTTTGAACTTGACAAAGCAAACGTGGGTATCCTTGAAAGGGAGAGAATGATTGCTGGGGGGGGGGTGAGTCCTACAGGAATAGAAGAAGCAAGGCGAGAGAATAGAGTCAAAGAGTTTGGGAACAGCTGGCACACAGCAGCTTTGCTACCATTATTCATTTGGGACACTTTCTACGAAGGTAGAGATGC